GAGAGAGAGAGAGAGAGAGAGAGAGAGAGAGACGCTTAAACACACACACACACACAAACACACAATCACAAACACATACACCCACACACAAACACTCAAAAAGGTTCACCCACATACTGGCATTGACTCTCAAAGGACCTCACACTTTCCGTGTATTTATTTAGTCGAGCTCACATGGCTCTCCATAACGTTTACCTTAACGTTGTGACGCTGTGAGTGCAAGTGTACAAGTTCACATTCACAGGACCCTTTGCTGAATGGACGGTTTTCTTAACGGTTTTCTCTGTTGGTTTCTACCTCAACCCCCTTCCCCACCCCCTCCATCCACCCCCTTCCCCCCGAAAAAATTCTCTATCTCTTCAAATCCCCTACTCTGTCTGTCTGTCTGTCTGTCTGTCTGTCTGTCTGTCTGTCTGTCTGTCTCTTTCTCTCTCTTTCTCTCTCTTTCTCGCTCGCTCGCTCGCTCATTCTCTTTCTTTCTCTTCCCATTCCCTTCTCCACAGTTTTATTAACATTACATTGACCAAGACGAAAAGAAAACTAAAAATATGCCTCTACAAAAATATACAATTTTTACGCGCTTTTCTAACATTGCCAGCAAACTCCTGAGCCTCTAATATAATATCTTGGTAAGTCATTCCTCATAATATTATAAGGATCACATAATACGAAAAGAAGAGATGTCCACAAAATGCGTAGGTAGCTAATGGTTTGAGTACATGTATATATCTTGCTTTATCACTGGACGACCTCATGTGTGCCCCCAGCTGAGAGAGCGCGCCAGCACAGACTGTGAGTTCCGCCACTTGGAGGACAAGGAGCGCAAGCTGAGTCTGCCCTTCTCCATACACCTTCTGTCAAGAAATAAGCAGAAGAAAGCGGAACCGCCCGGGATGCCCTCCTCGCCGAAGCTGCCCAGAAAAAACGTTGTCTCGTCCCCGAAACCATCAAGGTAGAGAAGACGAGCGTGAAAATGTGAGATTGTATAGGTTTAACAATATATCAACAATATTAGGCTCTTTTAAAGAGGCGGGACTTCAAAGCCCATCTCCGAAATGACTAGCTAGGCCAATAAATAGGAAATTCGTGTAAAGTGCCTTTTCTCTGGACACATTGTCGAACCCAGCTGAAGCTCGAACCCCCGAACCTGTAATATCACGATTACTCTCAGGCTAGCGACGCCACATGATGCTGGGATGCGCCCACTATACGATATACCACATACATGTATATAGCTACGGTATCAAAAGTCAAAGTGTAACATCATCCGACATCGGCACTTCCATTAGGTTCGAATAGGTCTGAATATTTGGAAAGGGGGGGAGGGGTGTGTGTGTGTGTTTGTGTGT